CTTAGAGGTCTATTTGAAGAGAGCACGCAAAACAGTAGCAAAAATGATGGGCCTACAATGGACAAATGATCTGGACATTGAAACACTCGAAACCAAAGGCCACTGGGCCACAATGGATGAATTGTTACAAGTGATCACCTTCCGCGATATGAATGCGTGCTCAAAGTGTGTCGAGAAACACCTGACACCTTCAGATGTGTCGTTTGCTACCAAGTTTGTGGCCGTGTATTTGTTCACTATAGTTAAGGGTTTTCGTCCAATGACTTATCGGTATTTGACGGTGGACATAGTCGGATCGGCCAAAAGCAATGGTGGTTTCATTGACCAGAAAAAGTTCAAGACCACATCCAAGTATGGATTTGATTCATTGTACTTGACCGACACCAGCATACAAGTGTTGGATGGATACATTACAGGTTAGCTCAGTTGGTAAGAGCGTCGGTCTGTTGTGCGGGAGGTCGTAGTTCAAGCCTCCGCCGGACCAACACTCAGGGTCTTAAAATAACTGAGGAGAAGGTGCTGCCTTTGTAATTATATCTGCAAACGGTTAGACCTTCAAGTCTTCTCGGACAAGGACTTAAAACCGTAGACCCTGTCTCCCAACCCTTCCTAACCTACAGCAAATGGGGGACATAAAAGAACCACTGAGGACGTAAAAAGAAACCCTGGCAGTGACCACCCTCAGTGCCTCCACTTCATACTAACCATCTCTCATGTTTGTAAATTGCTTAAAAAAAGCAATCTGTCATTCACAACTCCATGTAAAGCGACTTTGATTATATCCACATAGGAAAGGGCGCTATATAAATCATAATAATCATCATCATCATACATCATCTAAAACCAAACTGCGAATACGTTCTCGTTACCAGGAACGGCGGCCAGCACAGTAAAATCGGACAACTGATGAGCAAATTAGTATTCGATGCAACTGGCAAGTACAGTCATCCGACGCGATACCGTCATATCGTCGAAACGGCCAGTGGGAAATACCTCGAAAGGAACAAGCAATGCACGATCTCCGAAGATCATTTATTTATTTATATTATTTATTAAGCTTCCAACAATTAAACTGTTGCGGAGAACTAGACGGGTGACATTCCACCTATAGGATAGTCTCCAACTAAAATTTAAAAAAAAAAGAGAGAGAAAGAGATCTAAAAGGTAACTAATAAATGAATGGCTAAGCCCTACAGTTGGAGCAGCGGCATTTCGTCACCCAAGAACAGGTATTAATGGTCTCAAAGGAAGACAAAAATTTGTCGTAATAATGACTAACAAGTAAGCGCTTAAAAGACGGTGCAGAGATAGCTTGCCTAAGCTCAGCCGGCAGATCATCAGAAGCACAGCTCTGTAGTAGCTAGGGTACATTATCAAAAACTAAGATCTCGCGAATTTGCCACGAAGGCTCACGAGTGTCTGAAAAAGTTGCAGGGAGAAAAAGGGAGTGAGTTGACCAACGACGTTCGCTCTCGACTCTCAAACGATTTTGGCGGGCAATTCACCCGGTCAAGATTCCACCGTTGTCGAAAAGCCGAACTCCAACGAGCCAGCTGTCCTCGGAAATGTCGAAGTGACTGGATCATCGTTGCAACTTGAACGCGAGAAAAACGACTTCGAGTCTGAGCCTCCGAGATCTACTGACAAGCCAAAGAAAAGGAAACTGTTTCTCTTCACACCGATCAAAGATGAATTCTTAAATGCAAGGATAAAACTACGGTGGCCCACAAGTCTCACGCCAAAACAAAAACTCACGGCAAAACAAACTAAACTCACGGCAAAACAAACCAAGTCACGGCAAAAGGCAATAAATTCACGGCAGAATAAACTTAACTCACGGCAGAATAAAGAAAGCCACGGCAAAATAAACTAAACTCACGGCAGAATAAAGAAAGCCACGGCAAAATAAACTAAACTCACGGCAGAATAAAGAAAGCCACGGCAGAACAAAGAAAGCCACGGCAGAATACAGTAAAGGCAACGACGTATTGGGTTCCCTGTTGATCTTTTTACCGCGAGCAATTTGTCAGCGGTTTTGATGTTGTAAATAAAAATGGCGTCTGGTTCGAGTGGATCCTGCCAAGGTTGTGGTTCCTTATTACTTTCGCTAGCGAATATGTGTAGATTTTGTATCCAAGGTAAGTGAGATCATTAATTTTTATTTATCTATATATTTGCTAGTTGTAAACGTGTTTTTGACTGCTATTTCAGCGTCTACTGGTCAGTTAGATGACGACAATACATGTGCAGACATTTCGAGCACTGATGATGAAGAAGAAGAAGAGATATTCAACGAAGAAGAGGTTATTACATATTACTTTCGTCTTGGATTCGAATATAAAGAAATCCTGCATTTTCTTTGTGAGCGTCATCAGCATCCCATAAGTCGATGTACACTGATAAGGAGACTTAAACAATATGGGCTGTCGAGGCGTGTTATTACCGATAAAGAAGGATTCAATGAGACATTTGCAAAGGTCCGAGAACRCATAAGTGAGCTGATCAAAGGCCCTTCCTCATCTATGGGCTATAGAGCAATATGGCACACATTGAGAATGGAAGGTATCCTGGTACCAAGAAAAGTTGTACAGGATTTGCTGAAAGAGATGGATCCAGAAGGAACTGAAAAAAGGAAAAAAAATCGTTTGAAAAGGAGAACATACAACAATCCTGGACCAAACTATGCCTGGCACRTGGATGGATACGACAAATTAAAACAATGGGGATTCCCGATTCATGGTGGAATTGACGGATTCAGTAGAAAGATATTGTGGCTCAAGGTTGCAAGGTCCAACAATTCTCCAGACAACATTGCATTTTTTTTTTGTTGAGGCCATTTCTGCTGTTGGAGGCTGCCCAGTACACTTAGTAACAGATTTAGGTACAGAAAATGGATTATCTGCATCAATTCAGAATTTTTTTCGTGATGATTTTGCTGCACACAGATATGTAGCATCACCCCGTAATCAAAGAATTGAAGGATGGTGGTCATACTTTCCAAAAAGCCATTCTGCATGGTGGAGAAGGTTTTTCACAGATTTGGAATTTCAAGGGATAATTGACACTTCWTCTGAGCTTGATATGGAATGTTTATGGTTTTGCTTTCACAGAGTCATCCAGAAACAACTTGATTATGTAACAGATCATTGGAATAGTCATAGGATACGCCAATCACGGCATAACACTAAACCTGGACGCCCAGATTCACTTTTCTTCTGTCCTGAACTTCATGGAGCAGATCCAAATCTCAAACTGGAAGTTCCATCTACTGTAATGGATCATGTGTTGCAGCATCTAGTCATGAAACCAGAAAAAAATGTCCACCAGGAATATTTTGAATATGCCTAAGAGCAGTTGTCCATAGAACAACCAAGCAGTTGGCAAGAGGCACTGGCACTTTTCAAAGCTCTGATTCAAGTTGCAAAATAACAGTCATATATAACAATGGTTAGGCATGTAAAACTTTCAACTTTTTTCATGGACATAGCGTAAGCACTCTATTATAGTTTACTCAACCAGCAGACCCAAAATCAGAAACAAAATGTAACAGACAGGAAACAGGAGGTGAATTTTGGACCAGTCTATTAACAGCGGTGACTTTTYGAGAAATTAGTATTTTGAAAGATTACAGTAAAGAAAGTGAAAGTTTTCAAATTAGTGTTGTAATATGAGGCARGCCTAGGAGTATGGCTGCCCTAAAAGGATTTGAAAATTATTTTGTATTTGAACATGGGATGTCTACTGTTGAGGGGACAAGTCCAAAACAATTCTGATTGAGTAACAGTGACTATCAGTCACTAAATAGTTACTGTTTTTATTATCTTTCAATTTATTTCATAATTTTAATGTTTTGCACTTTACAATAATCATTAAATTATTTGATGTATTTAACATATGAGCAATAACAACAACAGTAGAGTACAAACACCAAAAGTGTGCAACACTTTGCACTTTTTAGTAGTAAAGAGTGCTAAATCAAACAATAGAAAACAATAGGATAGCATAATTTAGCAGTATTTAGTGGTATTTATGCTACACACTTATAGTGTTTGTACTCTATTCATAGAATTTATTATGTTATTTTATGGATTTTAAGCAAGAAGCCCATGTMTCCTAGGCCCTGTAGATACAAAATGTTATTATAATCAATACAAATATTATAAAATGATCATAATAATTTAAAGTAATCTATTAACATGCTATCACAATCACTAAAACTTATTTGATATAATATCTARCCTAATTTGTGTTGGATCTCAAGTAGCATTGTCTCAAGCATCCAAATTGAACTTCTAAACAACAACAACAGCATTCATTAACAACAATAACATGATATAATAAGTATTCTAGCCAAGATGACATGTTTTGATAGTGTGGGATCATTAGTAAATCATTAGGCCCTTTCCAACAACAGGTCAGTTTTTGCCATACAAATTGTTATGAGGTATTCTACTCTATATTTTATACAGTTTTTCTATTTGAGTCTGCTGAAATGGTCACGTTCTCTTTGTTTTTATCGTATAGGAGATTATTCCATTGCTGATATTCTTTCTGACGACATTGTTTATTATATAGTATGGTCAGGTAACCTGTTGCTTCAAAAGGTGCCAGGTACAGTTCAACCATCTATATTAAAATCATGTATTTCTGTTGTTATCAGAACATTGTCATTTTAACAAAGTAAACATATAGTGTCAATGCTAGCTTACAATAGCCACCGTAAATCAGGGACTGCGGACAACCAAGCAACAATGCAAACTGTTACAATGCCTACTTTGTACCCATAAAMGTTTGCAAAAATAATTGTTCACCAAATCATTCAGCAATATTGATGTTCAACTGACACCCTTGATTTGGTTGCTGCAAAACTACTATMATTGATTGATTTGGATTTTTAGCTGGGATCCATTTCTCATTCTGAACATAATGCATGAGTTGTTCATAATATATGAATAAAAAGTACATGTAGCTATCTCTGAGAACAAATTAATGCTATTAAAAAGTATGCAATTARGAKTCTTWGAATTAGAGGCACAAATCCAGTCAAGACATAAATGCTCACTCTTGCATTATTCATGGAACTTAAACTTTGCCAAAAGACTGCCCTTTGCAAAAGGCCAACAGAAATACTTCTTTGAACTCTTCTTTAGTCTTCATGTGTGACACTGGCAAAGTGATTTCTCTTGAACAAGCTCCTACAACTGGAAAGCAAATTCTATGGTTGGGATTGTTCACTGTGCAGTCATGATTGAAGTGGACTGAAACTTTCAATGGTTTTTCACCAAGTGGGATATGTTTTTGGCCTGTTAACCATCCCAATATGCCTGGAGGTGAAAGATCAGGTGACTGGAATTGTTCAGATAGCTCATTAGCACTACAGACTTGAGCTTCACTTTCAGTGCCATCATTCCAAGAAATTGCCTCGTTGTACCCAGAAATKTTACTCTCATCTTCCAACATAAATAGAAAGTCTTGAAAAAAATCCATCAACGATTCTTCTACCTTTCTCCTTGAGCTCCCTTCTTCTGTATAACTGGGGTGCAGAATTGAAAACACAAAGTTTGCATCAACTTTGTTAGGYTGTGAGCTCTTTACAAATAGACTCCTACAACTTTCTGGGTGGCTTTGAATGATATCTGCCAAGCCAAAGGACTGYAAGCCATCCATGAACTCTCTGAGGTACACCAAGCGCTTTGATATAATGCTAATAGTAATAGATTTAATGATTTCATCACTGTGCTYTTCATTGATCATCCCTGTGTATCCATTTTCTATTATGGTGTCAGCTTGAGATGTCAAATCATCTTGTATAGACTTCAGGAAAACCCTGTCACTTTCTGTTAAGTGCTTTGCTGCGTTGATTCCATTTGGCCTGAAATTAAGTTCTACCATTAGATTTATATACACTTTCTTCAAGGAAACAAGGTGGTGGCCCACCTTGGGCAAGACTTGCTGCGACAATCTGTCCACATGTCATGAAGCTTGAATTCTGGACATTGAGTGTGGAGTCTACAGGGCTGCCACCAGGAAACATGTAAGAGCCAATAGAAGGTAGATATAGYGTAAATAATTCAAGAGCCATTGCTCCTGAATCTATTCCTTCTTCACCACAAAAGCTTACCATCACACGTTTGTTTATACCTGAAGGGTCCTTTTTCACTGCTCTTTTCCAAATATCAATAACTCTTGATAAATGACAGCCTCGCCGTATAACAATAAACAACTGCCYAGACTTTACAATTTTCTCTGTAAGAGCTTTTACTACAGAGCATTCGTCATCCARCTTTGTCACATCAGGAGTCTCATCTTTTTCATCAGAAGTAACATTAGTGATAGGGTCAAGAGAAGCATCTTGATCATAAATGGCTTGCAGATGACTCGCTAACTGTGCATCTAAATTTGTCWGATGAATTGTTGATGAAGGCAGAGTTAAATCAATGCGTGTTGTTACAGATGCTGATGGTGGCTCTTGTGATAAAGAGGTCTCTGAATTTGATTCTGTTTCATCGTGTTTTCTTGTTTATTTAGTTTCCTAAGAATTAGATGATATTGACTGAGGGGTAGAATGCTTACCAAGTGGGTCATCATTTAATAGCCAATCATCATCATATGAGTTGTCATCGTCAGTTTTTAGACGTTTTGGGGGTGTTTCATTTTCAACTTTCTCATCTTTTACATCTTCGTTTTGCTCTGGATCACTTTCTGATATTTTTAAGTCACTGTCAGAGCAGAGAAACAGAGTAATTCTTTTAAAATCTTTGCCAAATTCTTCCTTATAACGCTTCAAGGAAAATGACTCTTTCTTGCTACCAGGTAAGAAGAGTGCTCTGCTGGTATCTTCATAAAGTAAATGATAAGTTTCCTCATCATCATACAAGTTTTTATGAAAGTTTTTTCCATTTTTCTTTTGCAGCTCTGAGAAGTGTTAAATAATTGGCATTTCTYGAAATTCTTAGTGGGAGCTTCTTCCCTCTTTTTGCTTTCAATTCTTGCTCTTTTTCACTCCACTCCATGAGTGAAATATTTATGAAGACTTCTTCATCTTCTTGTTTGCCTGTGGCTTTTGAAGATGAAGAAACTTTAGCTTTCCATTCTGTCCCTTTTGCTTTTTTGTACTGGACAAAAGATTTGATAGGTTTGGCTATGTTACTTGCTCCTRAAATTTGAGAAGACAGACCTGAAAAGAATTACTACAAATTAGTATAAAGTGGGTACAGTTGTCATCATTTTTGTGATTCATTTCAAAAACTGGTTTGACGTATGAACTCAAAACATTATAAAACTTCCTAAATAAAGTTAATGTAAAAAGTTTATAAAGGTTATGTATGCATGTAGAGATTTTTAAACCTTACAAGTACCCGGTCCCTAGCAACTGTGGCTGGTTAATAGGTAAATCCCGCCTTAACATGTACAAAGGGCACTAAGTAGGACGGAATTGYTAAACTATCGATTCTATTACGCATATTTTGTACCCGGCTTCAACATAACAGAGCACACGTGCTGGTCCACGTGCTGACTGTCACTGTAAACAAAACTCGTATTCAGTGCGATTCTATCATTYAAACAAAAAGATTGCTATATAAATTTACCTTTTCCACACTTTGAACAGTATTTGTGGTCGTCTTTAACTGCKTCTCCGCAATGAGAACAAAACATAGTAGATAACTTCAATATAAAAATACAACTGCACAAAACACTCGAATTCCATCGACATCGGTGTCCTGTCACCGCCTGAGACAACATCAAAACCGCTGACAAATTGCTCGCGGTAAAAAATTCAACAGGGAACCCAATACGTCGTTGCCTTTACTGTATTCTGCCGTGGCTTTCTTTGTTCTGCCGTGGCTTTCTTTATTCTGCCGTGAGTTTAGTTTATTTTGCCGTGGCTTTCTTTATTCTGCCGTGAGTTAAGTTTATTCTGCCGTGAATTTATTGCCTTTTGCCGTGAGTTTAGTTTGTTTTGCCGTGCGTTTAGTTCGTTTTGCCGTGAGTTTAGTTTGTTTTGCCTTGAGTTTTTGTTTTGCCGTGAGACTTGTGGGCCACCGTATAAAACGATATGGCTTTGGACAATGGTCTGCCATTTTGAGGGACCCATAATTTCAATCCCAAAAAGGGGAACAGCTAATTCACTACTTAAAAGAGGTTCCCAAAAATTTCCCTGCAAACATTAAATGATGGCACAGTAGCTTGTATATTTATTGCCAGAAACAAAAACGAGTGACGAGTGAATCAGTATATTTATATACTGAAATAAACAACAGACCCCTTCAAGAGTCCAAGCTCAATGCATTTTATTCTCCGGCGTGCCAGACCTTTTTCTGTTGGTGTTTGTGCTTGGTGTGAAAAGCATTCAGAGCATCAACACAGGTTGTCAAGAGATATTCCTTAGCCTTCTTGACATTTCCATGTGGATAATTTTCGATTTGCATTGCAGATTGACCATTTCTCTTTCTTCAGTGTTGAGCCACACACTCGTGAAGATGTCTTGAACACGGGCGTGCTCCTTTTGTACGTTGATTTGCTGCTGTTCAGTTCGTCGCACATCGATCTCTTGTTGGAGTTGTGTTGGCACGACATCATCTGCATGCACTGGGAGTAAATCCAATAAATCTTCGTCAACACCAATCTTTCTCAACTGTTCTTGTCTATGTCGATGTGCTCGAATTTCTGCGTCGACGATTCGTTTCCTCGATTCCCTGTTGTCCTCTTTCCTTTGTCGTATCATGCTTTTGATCATTCTCGCTTGATAAACATTGTGTGAACAGCCATCCAAAGCACTCTCTAAAGATTCCAGAATTTCATCGTTTTCATCGTCTTCACTGTTGTGTGCTGGTCTTTGTGTTTCATTGTGATCTGGGATGTCTGGGTTGTCCATGGTGTTTTCTGAATCGAGTTTCAGTGTCATAATTGCCTCTATCTTCTTTGGTCAGTCCCGTGCATTCCAATAGAGTGTTTTCCTCTTGGGATTCGTCTGCTGGAACTGCGCATTGAGTAGCAGCCGACGTGATGCAATCCATGGGGTGATCTTTTATCCATTTTGCTGCTTCTTTGTTTACCACCGGCAATGTTTTGAACTGGTACTTGTTTATGCAATTATTCATGGCATCGTTGTCTTCCTTGCTCCCAAAATCTAGCTCCTTTTGACAAATGATGAATATAGGAGCTCTGTTAAGAAACCCTTTGGCTGTCTTCCATTTTCGATCGAGGGCTGTCCAGCCTCCCTGGGTGATGATCTTCCAGTCGTCTGTGTCCATTAAACCAACTGTGGCCTCGTCCAGATTGATGACTTCAGTCTCCTCGTCTATCATGGCTTTACTGAATTCTCGCTGTTTCGTGACTCTTACGACCTTGGTAGGATCAATTATTCGGTTGGTGGCCATTAGCAAGGATGTTTTCCCACTGTTTGAAGGTCCAATGAGGCATGGCACTTTCTCATTGTGTTCTCGTGACTGACACTCAAACAGCCTCAGAAAATCTTCACAACGCGACTCCATTTCTCTATGATTCAAGCTGTTGGTCACTATGCTTTTGAAAAACTTGGGATCAGGCTCTTGATTATGGTTACGATTACGATTAAGATTTCAGCAATTGCCTGGCAATCGGGATTACGAAGAATGGCTTGGAGTCTGGACATATAACTCAGGAGACGATCTTTGAAGGATCCATTCCCAAGAAGGGAATTTAAGAAACTGTCCATGGAGCACAAGCGAGTGTAAGTGAATGATGCTTGCGGTTGCTTTTTGAATACATCTCCTTCTCTGTACACGTAATTCAGTTTCTTAAGTGCTCGCTAKATGTCGTTGCAAAGGATCGTCAAAGGTTCGGCAAGCTGTTTTGGGGGATAAATTTTACTTTCTGGTACAACCACGCTTTTAGTATTGTAAACATCAAAATGCAGCCCAACATCTTTGAGTCTTCTTACTGACCCATTCAACGATGGGAAAAGCTCCTCTCTCACTATAACCAATCTGACTACACGTTCCCAGTCCACCAGGGGTTGATCTCTAAGTGTTTCTCCCGTGATTTCTTCAAACAGCTCTTCCCTACAACGTTTGTACGAGTACATGATGATGTCTGACATGAAATCGTTCTTGTGGTCTTTCAAGAGCTGACAAACTTTGTTGAGGATTTCACAGCCTTCTTTTCTGGACGAGGCACGTGTGGAATTTACTTCGTCGCAATAGACCAGTGCACTGTGTAGTATCAAGGCATCCACTGGGGCTCCATTGGCTGATTGGATTGCGACCCAATATATGTAATTGCTGGATACGTTTTGTTTCTCAAACATTTTGAAATGGCCAGTGGAACCTGAAGTCCAAAATAGCACAATCACATCAATGATAAGAATGCACACACACATGAATAAAAAAAACAACAACAAAGTACGTGATTATGCAAAGTTCTTTACCTCGGAGGAATTCGTTGCACTTTGCTGTCACGCTGCGATTTCGTTTTCGCCATCTTGTTCGTCATCGAATGCTACTTCAAGTTTTTCCTCTCTTGAAATAGCTGAAAAGTAAAATCCTACTCCTGGTGTTTTTGCAGCGACTGTGTCTGCATCTACATCTACATCTACATAATTTATTTGCAAAATCCAAAAGGACATCTAGCAAATTCCAGTGCAAGTGCAAGATAAATTAAATAAATAAATATGTGCAAATAAGGTAATAATAATTGTGCTAATAATGATTAAATAGATAATAATCACTTAATATGGGGTATTAACAATCATTCAGCCCCCAATCAACCTCATATCGGCAACTTTCCAGTTATACCTTAACTGGACAGGCCCCGACATGGGGCCAACCAGGCAGCTATACAATTTATAGGCAATGGAGAAATTTATGGCAAAATGGCAAAAATTTAAGAAACAAACGTTATTCTATTAACCATTCTTAAATCTTAACTCAAACGGTTTAAAATGCTAGTTCCATTTTTCTAGAGGAGCAAACTGATTCATAACTGCATGTGGATCGAGATTATCACACAGATCTCTCTCCAATGAAATCATTGCTAGTGAAGATAGCCTTTTCTGTCCCATCGTTGAATGCAAGCAGTTCTTTATCAATTTCAATTTGGAAAATGATCTTTCTGCTGAGCATGAGGTAACTGCTATGGTAATAATTATATTGTATAAACGGAAGACTGTTGGGAATGTACGGTTATAGCCTTTGTCAAACATATGCTTAGCCACCTCTATCATCGATTTGCAGTCCTTAAAACTATGGTCATTCTCGTGTAGTTTTCTTTCGGATGCAACTGTGGCCAAAAATACATCGTATTCAGTCTTTGCCGCATGTTTGTCGATGTCGCGACTGTTTGATCAAAGTACTCATGAAAAACATCCTCAGATCTTTTCGTTTTTAAAACAGACTTAACACCTGATACAAGGTTAACGACAGAACTAAAGTCAATGTCAATACCTTGAAGGGTATCTGATAACGTTTTTGTGTACCCTAAAATGTCACATAAAACATCAATGGCTAGAATTGCTTCAAATGACTGAAAGTAGTTTAAGTAGCCTCTTGCCTCTGCTCCCGCTTTCCTATCCTCGTTATCTCTTTTTTCAAAACTTTTGGGTGCCCCCCCCCCCCTCGCTACGCTACTGATGGAGCTCCATTACCCATGCCAGTTAATAAAACTAGAACTTTAAGCAGAGATATGATTATTTACAGCTGTTTTAAAATTACTTATTGAAGTCATGATTATAATATTTGGTGGTAAACTGATCAAATCATTAATTGTTCTAGGTCAGAAACTATATTTATATTCATCACATGATGTTTGTACTGGAATAAACTTCATTGGGTCAGAGTTTCTGGTGTTCATTACAGTTTTATGTTTTACATGAGGTGGTATGTTGATTTCTGCTTGTCCGTGTAGTGTCTTGTACATTAAAGTTAGATAAATTAAATAAATAAAGATTTCGTTTGGCTACTATATGGATCCAAGCCGCTCGTATTCCATTCATACCACCTTGGACTCTCCAAACACATTTCACCCCAATAATGGAACACGAAATTCGAACGATTAAAACTTCGTCTTTTATAGCTACGCTGTTCAATGGACCTTTTATTTTTAGGTCAAATGTCTCATGCACTTTGCAGTACCACTTTAGGGAATGTATTGTTATTCATGCACTAAGGTATGACGTTACTCTCTTGTACAGTTTTAATTAATCGTGTTATCAAGTTCAGTTCCAAGTTAATATTAAAGGAAAGATAGACTAAAACACAAGTAAAGAAAAGCATTTATTATCCGTCTAATGCAATAAATATCTCCTGACAAAATTTACTCCGTATCTGAAATACATTGCCACTTTTATACAGCCTTCTCGTGGGCAAGAGCAGCCCTTGTTACAGCATTCGTCATCGTGGGCATTAATGACATGAAATCGTCGATTTGGTCGTCCTTTTTCTTCCTCTTTGATCTCTTCTGTTTTACTTTTAAATCAAGAAAAGATAACGCAGAATTAGATAACGCTAGCACCGTTTTTGAAAACTCCACATTGTTTGGTAGTCCGCTCGCCCTCTGACAAACTTTAAATATCATTCATACACCAACCTTCATTTTTATGATCCCCATCGCTGTCATCAAAAGGATCAACTATTTCCTCTTTTTCTTGTTGCCCCTTTCGTTTGACCCACTCGACTACTTCTTTAGTCTTTCTTTTTCCTTTTGATAACAGAAATAGACCATCCCTGCCAAATTTATTGCAGTCGCTCTCCTTGTCCTTGCTTTCTTCTTCGGAACTACCTCGGTACAAGTGCTCTGGCTCGACAACCTTGCTATTTGGCGGCAGTTTACTGTCGGAATTTGATGCTGTAGTACACGACTTTTCATCCTTTAGTTCTCCTCTACATAAAAAAAWAAACAAAGAGTGCAYCTCCATTACATTTAGAAAAAAGCTTATTATAGTTCGAGTTGCTATAAACTACACTTACGTTTCTTTCATTCTCCGGAGTATTCTTCTTCTTGCTGCTTCTCTTGTGAGGCATCCAGTTTTTCCTACAGATGTGTAGTAAGCTTCGTCAATTGGTCCAAGTTTGTTTGCCATAAGCTGAACATACCGTAACACTCTGGAAGGCAGCTGTCCAACGTTATGTATAGCTTCTTTTACTATGGCAATTCCCACATTTTGCTTGAATTTGGTGCCGTTTCTTTAGCACTTCTCGTACTGAATTCTTTTCTCTTGTTTCTTGCTTCAGATGAGCTACTCCTTTTCAGTTTCATTTCGTCATATTCCTTTGGATTGGTAATAACGGGCGTCCCTTTTAGTGCCGCCTCTAAAAATATGTTTCTTTCGCCTTCTATTTTTCTAAAGCCAATGTTGTAGTTGCATTGGGACATGATAAGCAACCTGTATTTATACTCATTTTGACTCCACTACGCTAGAAATACAACACACACACTTTTGTTATACATGGGCAGGTGGGTCAGCTGGGCCCACGCCGGTAGAGTTTTATTGCAATAAGACCAGTATACAATGTGTAAACTAAACAAATTTTGCATATCCGGGCCCTCGACGCACTATAATCGTGGCAAGGTAAATTACAACCGCACAGTAAGTATGAATGTATTAATCAAGTCCACAATGCACTAAAGGTAACAGCAGAAATAATTACAATTAATAGTATAGAAAATAAACCTAAGCATCAAAGCCGGTCACGAAAACCCCAAAAACCACAGTGTGGAAAAAAAGGGGAACGTGAACCCCCAACCATGCTAAGATGCAACCTTTGGGGTTTTAAGGCAAACTGTACGAATAAATGTCACATGCAAGCTAATATAAGCATAAGTCGAAACTAAGGCGATAGAAACCGGCGAGGCTGACCGTAGATGAACTCTCACACATTCTAGACRCTTCTTATACTAATCYTACCCACAAGGGACCCGACGCTAACTACGCACGAGCTAACAAGCTCCCGTGCCGGCAAAATAACCATTTGTGCAAATCTCGTGCCTCGCTTGGCACAAATTACATATTTTGACTCCACTACGCTAGAAATACAACACACACACTTTTGTTATACATGGGCAGGTGGGTCAGCTGGGCCCACGCTACATAAGCCAAAGGTAGGGCTTGAGTAGGGACTCAGAGATCCAGTGCTTTGGACACGTCCAATCTAGAGGGAAGAGAATCTTTAATGTATCGATCTTTGGRAGAGGCAGATTTCCATCTCCCATGGCGCTGGACGTTTCTATCGGAGACACCAGAATTGGCTGCGGCAGTTGCACCTCCGGACCTAGAAGAATGGGTGCTGAAACGTTCGATATCAGGAACAATATTAGTAAAAGCTTTCTTGAAAGCTTCTCTGTAAGTGGCGTAGCAAATAGGTTTATTGATAGTCACTAATTTCTTGATTTTCTTGGAGGTAGTAATGGGCCGAAACAAGTATTCATCAGATTCAGGACAAATTAAAGCCATTGAAAAATACTTTTTAAGTAAGTCTACTGGGCATAGAGAGGAATTGGACTTAGCAATCACAACATTACGTCCCTCCCTCAATTGGTCAGTCTTACTTTTCTCAATAGATATTGAAATATGGTCATTATTAAAGTGCACATCCTTGCTGCGAAGCGCTAACACCTCCGCGCTTCTTAAGAACCCGCTAAAAGACAAAACAAACATGGTTAGATTTCGAACTTCCAATAAATCGTTAAAGTCCGAAACAAAGGCCAAATCCTGTAGATGGCTGACTTCCAGGGGTTCTTTACGATGACCTAATGGACGGCTAGCGATACGAACAGCACCTTCTCTCACGCAAGTAACCGCTGGATCATCTGTAGGGGATGGGACATTAGCCAGATTATGGATCCATTTGATGGCATAGTAAGCTGTATTCACTGCAGATGCAGAGAACGAGGACTCTAAGATGTGTTGGAGAAAGAGGGCCATATTCAACGGTGATATTGGAAAAACGGCTTGTAAATGTAGGACGTTAACAGCAAATGATTTCCATCTCTTGAACAAAGGTAGGTATAGGCGTGCAGTACCAGTAGCACGAGAAGCCAGCATCGTGAATTTTAGATTCTCTTGGAGACGGAGTACGACAGGATCATCCGATGAACATGAGCCCCAAAATTCACTGGACAGAAGGTCTACAAAGACACGCAAGTAATAAGATAAAACAAAGGAAGACATTATTAAAACATTCTTGAGCACAAAAAAAAAAAACATACAAAAACACTTGTACTTTGAACAGCTATAGGCATATAATAACAAGCACTATTGGCATTAGGGCATACACATAGAAAACAAGCACTACTGGCACTTGGGCCTAGGACACCTCCGCAGTCCTCCTTTGGCATTTAGGCCAGATCCTATAGACACTTAGCTGTTACACTGAAGGCATTGAGCCTATAGAATTGAGACAATTGTAACTCTTTAGCAATAAGGCAATAACAAAACAAAACCACATAGATTTTTTTTTTTTTAATTTATAGAAAACTTACTGAAATTCAATTCTGAGGGCTAGGACAGGAAACGACACGGGCCTGATACCAAAAATGCAATTCTTAGCTTTACCCCTGATGAACAGATTAGARATRTTGGGTAAAACAGTCCAATCAACTACAAAACTGTTAAAATGGATTCCGTCAGAACAAAGAATTGGCCAAAAGTGAGCCGATTTCCACATAGGAACAATGAGTGTGCCTTGTGCTTTACAAATTTTGAGGTGATGAACAACCTTGCAGGTAAGATACACTGGTGGACAAAGCCAATTATTGTAATGTGACCAATCTTGGGAAAAAGCGTTAACCCCACTAGTGCCGGGCTGATAGTACCTAGTGTTGAAAGAGGGCAATTTAGCATTGTAATGACATGCAAATCGATCAAAATTGTGAGGACCCTACATAACGTCTAGGTCTCTGAAGACGTCATCGTTTAGGCAATAATCATCGTGATCCACAATACGACTGATTTTGTCAGCACGTGAATTAAGATCCCTGGGAATCCATTGCATGTCTAAGGAAATAGCATTAGCAAGACAGAGTTCAAAAAGCTCCATAACTAATACATGTAACTGGGGTACTCTGGACCCTATGGTGACAATTGTAGCAACATTTTGATTATCTGTATACCACAAAACCTGCTGTGATGTCAAATAAGGTTGGAAGGCTTTCAAGGCCAAGGTGACGGCTTTCAACTCCCTGTAAGTAGAGCTTTGCAGCTTCTCAGCTTCATCCCAATTCTGATGGGAAATTTTTCCGTCAATGTCAATGATACCGCCGCATCCAGTACTTAAAGCATCAGTATAAACGACACGAGTAGGTTTAAACTGTATGGGCCATAAGGGCGCACCATTCAAATTCGGGACGTTAGATTGCCAGAAGGAGAGCTCGTTCAGACACACCGGCGTCAGGTGGACTAGGGAATGCCAAGACAGCCTGGAATTAATAACAGTAAACAAATTCCTTGTCATTAATCTTGTAACTTGACCGACGCAGTTAGTTAATGAGATTATCTTGCCACAAATAGTAGCAAGTGATTTCACATGAACGTTGTTGGACTTGGATGAAAACAATGAGTTGAGATCATGAAGTAGACTATCGATCCTCTTAGCGGTCGCTGGAATAATACAAGTAACAGTATTGATGTTAGTTCCTAGATAAATAATAGATTGGGTAGGAACCCAGTGACATTTCAGCTCATTGGAAAGAAAACCAAACTTTAATAGGTCAGATTGCACCTGTAAACTGACAATCTTGCAGGATAGCTCGCTAGACGAAGCACCCAATCCGTCATCCAAATAGACCACGATAGTAGTGCCGCGCGACCTCCACATCTTGACGAGAGGCTTGAGCAGCTTTGTAAACAAATATGGTGCTGAACTGAGGCCAAACGGTAACACTGTGAATTGAAAATATCTAACACAACCATTAGGGAAGATCCAACTGAAAGACAAAAACTTGCGATGCTCTTCGAAAATCKCAACGTGATGATAGCCTGACTTGAGATCAAACGTAAACATGAAATCACCTGGTTTAAGGATTTCCTTAAGAACGACCAAATCTTCGCATTTAAACTTATTCTTGTAAATGTATTTATTGACGTGTCGTAAATCCAAAATAAGTCTCTTCTTTCCCGAACGTTGGATAGAAACCGAAAGCGGATTAATAACATCAGGAGGAGAAAATACTTCTTCAATACACTTGCTATCGAGTAATTCTTCAATGGACTGTTTGACAAAGGCGTATTCCCTAAGAGCAGACAAATTATTCTTGGCAACAAAGKAAACAGGGAATTCAAGAAACGGAATTTTATATCCCTGCTTAATAACATCAATAATGAACTGTGGCGCACCAATATCCATCCAGCTCTGGACGGCTCTTTTCATACTCCCTCTAAGCGACGCTACAGCGCAGTTAGATTTCACCTCATAGGACTCTGTCAGATGCAGATCGTAGGAAAAACCGTCATCAGGATCGTTAACAGCAGCCATAGAAGAATCTACGTCTAAGTCTACAACAATATAGAAGAATATTACGCAAAACAGCAAAATATAACAACATAACAAATTGTATTAATAACAACAATAAGTATCAACACTATAAACTCGAAAACGAATAAGCAAAATATGTTACAAATGCAAAGAGAGCGTTAATACAAAATCAAAAATATACACTAAAGTTAGGGTAAATGCAAGAAAAACAGTTCAATAGCGGTTCAAATAAACAAGCCCAGTGACAAGCTACTTCGATTCAGGAGGTTTCGAAGTTGAAAAAGTATTGGGACAACAAGCACGCCAGTGCCCAAATTTACCGCAGGCAAAACAGGCGCCAGGATTACGTGGTAAACTGGCCATGGACTGTGAATTAGATTTCACATTAGGGGAGCCAGAGGATTGACCTTGTTGGAACTGAGGCGTATAGGAACGGCGTTGAACCTGAATGACCGTGAAAGAATAGGCAAACTAATAGTCAGTACTTGTTGGTAATTGGTGGTAATAAACCCATTAGACTTAACTATACACTAGGTATATGACAAGAATGACAAGACAA